CCAGACAGCACAGAAAATACCCCAGGAGAGCAGGAAACAAACCTGAACTGTTGCTGGCAACTAATGGCAGCTTATGTTGACTCTGCGTGTTTGGAATGCAAAAGCTAGGGAAGCACCTGAAGAATATCTGCCAGAAATTTACATTTAATGAGCTTGCAGCAAGTCTCACACAGCTGATGTTTCACACTCTTCAGTAAAAAAGGGAGAAGATACTGGGCTGATCTCTTTGTTTCTTTTGTCCATCTGTTATTCTGGCTGCTTACACAACAAAAGTGTTGGAAATAAGATGACATAACTTCACACCAAAAATATATTGATAAGAATTTTTATGTGTACGATATAATGGGCCAGTATACCAGTAAGCATTGGTATTTTATCTCATTATACCTGCATTATCAGTCATCATTGTAATTGTCTGGAAGGGTAGACCATAACTCTCACCTCTGTCTTTAGGGGTGAAAGTAACACATTGGTGTGAACTGGCAGCCAGGAATAAGCCAGGAAGCACAGATAACAATGTCTAATTTGATACTACTGCTGACAAAAGATAACTGGAGGTATAGAGCTGCCATCTGTTTATTGCAGCTCTAAATACCAGTGAGCTGCTTGTTGCTTCTACTGTATGCACAGGTCAGGTAACCTGTCTGTCCTACAGTGCCAACCTTTGGAAGCTGTTTGCTGTATTTAATAAAAAAAAAAAAAAAGGGTTCAAGATCATCTGCTGTTTGTTGAAGAAGCTCATTGACGCAAATGGGCATGAATGACAGCTGTTCTCCATTCATCCAAAATGAGAGGCTAGCTCCTGCACAGGTTTGTTTAGCCATGAAGTTGTCGTCCAGACCACAAGGTATTTGAGAGCATGAATTATGTGAGCAACTAGTTCCACTGCCAGCTGAACATCAGTGCAGACATGAGGGACTGGTCCAATTGCAGCTGAGGTACGTGGAAGAGAAAGAGCAGAAACACTAAAGAAAAATGCACTGAAAGAGAAGGAAATCACAGGTATCATCAGAGGAGTCCCTATAAATCTCTACTGAAGAAAAGCTCAGGGAACTTTTTGGTAAAAGCAGTAGGAAGGCATATAGATGTCTATCTACAGAGAAATTATGTCCCAGTGTATGATTTGTACATTTAATCAATCCCGTTTATATATAAAGATGTGCCTGAACCTATTACCTGTTTCTTCTCCTAAAAGAAATGCTCACAGGAGCCCCACTTTATTCACATTGAGAAAAAGAAAACACACAAACAAACCGCAAACAAAAAAACATTAATCAAAAAACCTTAAGTTTGCTTCCAGACAGTAGGTGAGTGTCTAGTGGATGATGAGTGCAGCTGAATAAGAAAAGAGAGAAAAGGAAAGACCTTATGGAAAACTTAAAATATATAACATTCATATTTAGAATAATTTCTCTTACATGAATGAATCGGGAATACTCCATTGATAAATCTCAAGTGTCTTCATAGAATCACGGAATGGTTTGGGTTGGAAGGGGCCTCAAAGATCATCTTTATGACTATCTTTATGACCTCATGTTTTGCTGTCACTGAGCCTTGTCACGGTCCTGCAACAAGCTGCAAAATCATTCCTGGTCCTGGGATGGCAGAGACCTCAAGGCATGGTGCTGCAGTAAGAGGGACCCTGTTTGAGGCCATGCCACTGTACCAGGGCTCTGTTCTCATCACGGCCCCAGCGTGTGCTCGTTACGTGCCATCGTGTCCATCATGTGATCCTGACACACGACCTGGCTTCTGTGGTCTCACACATCAACCTCAAGTAAGATGAGAGGCCTGACATTGCTCTATCATAAAGAGATGGTGTGTCTCTGCGTTTCTCTTAATTGTGTCATTGGGTTTCAGCAGCTTGGTTCATTACTGCTGAGAACATGATAGGAGACAGCTTAGAAACCGAAACAATGGTGAGGGTAGCAGGTCAGGCCATGGAAAGGCAGGAAGTATCAGATTCTCATGGATGAAGGTCCTGCTATCGTGGGCTGGCGTGTCGGAGCTTTTCTTAGCTTTCAGGCAGTGGCTTCTCATGGATGAAGGTCCTGCTATCGTGGGCCTTTTCTTAGCTTTCAGGCAGTGGTCGTACTTGGGTAAGATGGAAAACACGCTGACTTCATACCGTGTTGGAAACACTCTGGTTTTGTTCTGCTTTGTTCCTCTTACTGAACAAAATGCTTTGTTCTGCAACGTCTGGTGAGATAGTGGGCTCTGTAGCCCACTGCGAGCTCGACGGTCCTGGTTGCTTTTCAGGGGCTGAACTTGGAGGTGTCGCCTTAAGAGTAGGAAAACTGTGAGATTCCACTGCAGCACGAGTGAAAGGATAGGGGGCAGAAATGCAAGCTGCTGAATTTGAGAGATGAAGTCTTTAGAGGCACAGGTAAACGTAAACTACGGGTGAAATTCTGCATTGCAATGCTTCGAAGGATTCGTAACGTGCTCCCAGTTTTGGACAAAGATTTTGCCCACCGCTTCCAGGCTGCTTTAAGGCTCGCAATGCTCTGGTGCCATTTAAGGAGAACTTTACTGCAATCCCCAAAAGTGGTTGCAACCAGCGTGGCCATAGGTGAAGACCAACAGTGTTCTGGAGTAGCACAAGTGTCGAAATCGGTGCAGGAGTGAAGCGTTCTGTGGCTTACTCCTTTGGCAAAGGTGTGTGATTGCAAGTCAGGCCTGAGATCACCAAAGGTGGTGGAATCTGGCACAAAATGGCAGATAGCTGCGGTGTCACCGCTTCACTGCAGAACGGTGTGTAGGCGGTAATTTTTTGGTTTTACACATAAGCATGTTTTTAATACAAATTTTAGTTTCAGTATGCAACAGATCAACATTAAATAGTATTAATTTGAGGATGGTGATGTGCTTGGTTCTCCCCTTTATTATTTAGAAGAAAGCCAGCAGCAAGCAGAGGAATTTAACAGTTAACCAATAACAGTAGCATATTTGACTTCCCTCCCACTGAAATTACTCTTTTTGTAATGGTTAACTGCCCTGTTGTAACTCACAGCAGGGGGGGTAATTTTCCCATCAGAGGAAGTAAGATAAAGGGAAAGAAAAATTCTTTCGGTCACATATGTTGAAATCCATTTGGAAGAACAATCATTACTGTACTCTAAACAATTCCAGGTCAGAAGGTCTAGACCAGTTTTAGTCTTGCGACAATCGGTAGGGAAAACGGGCTGTTAAAGGAACTCTGTTGAATTTAAGGCATTTTCTGTTTATTTTCTCGCAGGTTTTATGGCTCTTGTAGCCAAGGTGTGGCAAAAATCCAGTGGAATCAAAGTCTCTGTATTTTGTTATGCAGCTTCCTGGAAAGAGCAAAGCAGATGGCATTAAAAAGTGCAGCCAAAAGTCGTGCCCCAAGCATACCTCCAGTGTTTTCAAGGAAAGAAAACTTGTCTGTAGTCAGAATTTGTTTGAACACATCAGAGACTCATCTGTTCATTGAATAAGCCCATAAGATGCATGTTTCATTAATTTTTTTTCCAATTTTTTAATAATCTGAGGAGATTAAAAAAAAATCCACTGTTCTGATAATGCAGTACCCAAAGTTAATTCCCAAACATTGGACAGTGTGGAGATGTTGGGCTGAGAATTAGCAGGGAAAATGCAGCTTCAAGTGGATCACTTGTTTATGAAATTTAGTTTAAGATTAAAATGGATGATTTTGTTATCTGATACATTTATCTGTGAAATCTAAGGGAGTCTTTTGATGATGGTAGAGGTTGGATCTGGTCCTTAATATGTATATTAATGTATTTTTTACATATGCTATATCGTATCTA